TAATGCTTATACTCCATTCGCTTAGCTCGGGCATATTTTGACAGATTCATTGTCGGAAACCTACAACACAATAATTCCTACTTCTCAGTATTAATAGCTCAAGTATACTACTATTGCAGTGTATAAGTGTATACTAAACTCATCAAATTTTGGGTGGTATTATATTTAAAAAATATATTTTAGTTGTTATAATTTAACATAACTATTTATTATTATGGTGTAGATAAATAAATATTGATTGTCGGTAATTCTCAAAGTTCTATTTTATTTACTATTTAGTTTGTTTACTATTAATATTGGCTATGAGTACGTGTGCTTGGTCGTATAGTAATTTCCAGCCACTTTTAGTCTGTCAAAAAGTAATTAACTTCGCAAAAAAAATAATTACTAAATTCACTATGCAGTTCGGGCTAGTATTAGCAAACCGAGTATATCTCCTTATCCCTGATCGATCTAACAATTGACACAAACAGGAGTGTGCATCTGCTGGTGCGAAATGGGCTACTGGTTATAGTAATGTAGGAGACCAGGCACGCCAGGGAAAGAAGATCATACGATATGAAAACCATATGAAATCGTAGGTCTATTGGAAATCCATAAGAGACGCCCATGAATCAAAATGATATTTGCCTCTCTGGAAATAATAACCTATTCAGATACTGCGTCACAATGATAGTTAACAAATATCTTAAAAATACTGTAAAAGAGTACAGAAAAGTTTATGATCGCAAGTATATGCTTCAACAAGCACAAGACGAGGAAATTAAGATTAAGAAAAAAGATAAACATACACTTACTATAAAAATAAATGACAAGAAACGTCAATGCTGTACCAAAATATAATAAAATAAATACTTAATAAAATTAAATAAAATTAAATTAAAGTAAATAGAATTAAATAAATTTAAATCATATTAAACAGAATTATGTAAAACTAAATAATTTTTTGAGCGTTTCATGGTGGAGGTAGAATAGTTCGTCGGATTGTAACGTATGATACATCATTGAAAAGCAGAGGCAGTACTCAATATGTTGAGACAGAAAAATACACATTGCGGCATTGCTAAGAGGGCATTTCATCATATCTCCTTTGTGTTTGGTCCGATTAAAGCGTGAGATACGTTAAATGAAAGGGAGGGAGTATCACGAATTTATTAAGATAAAAAAAAACACAGCGACTACCAAAAAGGCACTACATACTGTCTTTTTTATTAATAAACGTATAGTTACATACGAGATGTCATACGGAACTATGCATAAAAATAGTTTAACAAAAAGATAATTAATTTTGATTTGAAAGAAGAAAGAATGAAACAACTAAAAGAATCCTAACATATGGCATAGCAAATGAAAGGGGATGATATAACGAATATATTCAGATAGAAAAAAACAAACAAGGCGACTACCAAAAGTGTACTATACAGTATCTTCAGTATTATTGAACGTATAGCGACATACGAGGTACCACAGGGTAATATAGATAAAAATAGATTACTCATAACACCAATTTTGATTTATTGTCTTAAAGAAGGCCTATGGCTGAATACAAAATAGACAACTGATCGAATCCTAACATGCGACGTAGCAAATGAAAGAAGAGGATATAACGAATATGTTCAGACACAAACAATTGTTTGTTACAAGGCAACTACTAAAAGGGCACTACACAGTATATTCGTTATTAATAAATGTATAGCGACATAGGAGATATCATAGGGAATTGTGGATAAAAAAAGATTTACCATAAGACAAATTTTGGTTTATTTACTTACAGAAGGCCTCAGGCTGAGTACAAAATAAACAATTGATCGAAGCTTAACATGCTTAATGCATGTGTAGTGCAAAAGAGCACTACACATCGTCTTCGCTATTATTGAACGTATAGCGACATACGACATATCACATGACAATATGGATGATAATAGACATATTTGGTTTATATATAAAGCATAAGGTAAATATAAGGTAAATTCACTTTATTGACCTGAAATGGGTCTGTGTCTGATTACAAAATAAACATCTAGCCTAATACTAGCATATGACACATCAAATCAAACGATATGAGACGTATAGTACATATATTGTATAGCGAGCCATCAACATATATACAAGGTATAGTAAAAAACCATGTTGACAGGTAAGAAGTGCACTAGATCATACTTTAAATTTACTTGGATTACATACAAAAGTTTAATATTTTAACAAGTTAAAGACTGTAGATGATAAATGATTGGATTCCCCGATAACTAGCAAATTTTCTAGTTAAATATAAAATCCAATAATAATTGATACTTTAGAAATACGTTTGAAGAATTTATGTCTATATTTAGCAAATTTAAAAAATATGCCTTATTTAAAATGTAATAAACTATTAATTTCAAAAGTTTATGTATTTAATGTCTTGGCAAACATAGTTTCAAAATTTCACCTTGTTATTCATAATAGTCCCTATTCGCTACGTGCGTGACCATGGTAAGGGTACCCTGAAACGATGCCAGCGTGCGTAGCGGCGAAATATGACAAAATTGGACCTATCTTTTTACGAATAAATTTTATCAAAAATGTGTGCAAATACATGTTGCGTATTTAATTGTGCTAATAATAGCAAAATTAGTGAGTGTAGTTTTTATAGGTTCCCAAAGATTACATATAAATTAGAAAAAAGAAAAAGATGGATTCGTTCTATTAATATGAAAAAGTAAATATCACATAATTTTATTTTTATGCAATTGAACTAGGAACAATTTAAATAATGTATCTTAAATGATATTTCATAAGGCTTCAAGCTAACTGCAGAGTGCCTACTTCCTGATGACTTTAGCTTTTATATCATAACTTTTACTATTATTGTTTTTAATTATATGCTCTTTCACGTGAAAAACCTGATTTTCCAGTACTAGATTTTTCCCTTTCTTTTCCGTTTGGGGTTGAAAAGATATGTTATGATGAATTTTGAGAAACCCAGTTTTTAATACTACATTTATTTTGTACCTAAACTGAAAAAATATAATTAAAAAACTAATTATGTATATTTGTCAATTTCGCATGTATTTAACAATGTCAAACATATGTCATACGTTCAACCAGAAAATTGGAAGGTCCAAAACCGGAGATGAAGGTGTCGCGTCAGTCACACCTACTTATAATATACTTTTTTTGAGATGAGGTTGTTAAGTAGCTTCTAAAACCATAAAAATATACAGAATGTTTTATTAAAAATTAAGACGACAGACTATGCTAGATATGCATGAATCACCCGGTATATTTAAAATTATATTTAAAAAGCGCACATTTGAATTTAAAAGTTGACGGAAGTATCCCAGCGTTTTTAATAATCTTATTCCATTACTGGTTTCTATACTTTTGAATTTCAAAATTTCAACTTGTATTATCCATAATATACTACGTGATATAGTTCGTTTAGATTGGTTGTTAATAAACTTTTAAAAATATAAAAATATACTTGGTGTTTTATTAAAAATAAAGTTTATGAACTACGCTAGGCTGGCGTGAATCACCCTGTATATTTAAATTTATATATAAAAAGCGCAAATGTATATAAAGAAGTCGACGAGTTTCTTATAATTTTTTAAAACAAGGACAGAAATAATTTTATTCCCTCGGTGGTTACCACTCTGTACAATGTGGGGACATAAACATCGCTTACTGCGATTATCTAAAAGTCTTTCAGTTTAAGCAGAAAGAAAATAATATTTCAGATATTTTACATTAACAATAAAAATCTGTGAACTTATGTAACAATAAAACATTGAAAACTTTGTTTTCAAACTTCAACAAAATTTATTTTAACTATTATCACTACAGCTGTTTCGGCTGATTGCCTTTCTCAAGTGATCTAATTTTGGCATGCGTTTACACTTTATAGTTTCTAATGAAATAGGTTGAGAAGGGGAGAACTCTTTTTCTCAAGTTGGTCATTCAGAATTATATATGTGTTTTTTAATTTGTTGATTTCCATAGATTCTAACAAGGATAGCTTAAGGCCTTTATTTTGAATGTAAAGAATTTTAAATTCGTCATTAAAAGAATGATTGTGATCTAGAAGGTGAAGTGCGTATGTAGAATCTGTTTATAGTCGTGTCCATCCAAAATAGTCATCATCCCATCCAAAACAACATAAACTGGCGGCCTATCATAGTATGTTAAATAGATTAACAGAAATTCCGATGTCAAAATACAACTTTGAGATAGAATTAAATATAATTAAGCAAATAGCAGTAAATACGGATACAACGAACAAACAATATAAAATGTTAAATCAAAAACTACACAAGAAAGCCTTGAAATTAGTATTTCCACCACCAGAGAAAAAACCCAGTACCTTCTGCTCGCTTACATACAGGCAAAATATCAACAAAAATAGCTAAACACATAAAAAAGAAAGGAATTAGCTTTCCAAACAAATAACAACCTAGACAAATATGTCAAAAACAACAAGAGCCAAAGTAAAAAAACACTTACACAAACTTAAATGTGGCGACTATTTACAAAAACTTACATTGGTCAACTTGGTAGAAACTTTAATAAACGAATAGCAGAACATAAAAGGGCTTTTAATAATAGAAAAACAGATTCTACATATGCACGTTAACTTCTAGATCACAATCATTATTTTAATGACGAATTTAAAATTCTTCACATTCAAAATAAAGGCCTTAAGCTATCCTTGTTAGAATTTATGGAAATCAAAAAATTAAAAACACAGATATAATTCTGAATGACCAACTTGAGACAAACAGTTCTCACCTCCTCACCCTATTTCGTTAGAGACTATAAAGTGTAAACGCATGCCAAAAATAGATCACTTGAGAAAGGCAATCAGCCGAAACAGCTGTAGTGATAAGAAGTTAAAATAAATTTTGAGGAAGTTTGAACACAAAGTTTTCAGTGTTTTATTGTTACATAAAATGAATTTCCATCAAGTTACGGTCGAATCCATCAATCTGTGAAGTTTGTTAACATTTTGAAAGGTCACATACCTTTTTGAAGGCTTCATCTACATTAAAATCGGTTCCGTATAAATATCTCATTAGGTAATTTTCATCTGTGGAAATTTTTGTATCGGAATCTGAAACAAAACATGTTAAATTACGTCGAAATCATAAGCATCAATCAGATTCTTAGACCAGTGCGGATCTTTTTTCATGTGGATGTGAGCATGGTGTTCAAATTTTGACAAAAAAAGTTGTGTGATAACTTCAGTAATAATAATTGACGTATCCTTCCTCTCAAATAGGTTGTAAATATTAATAAAAAAAATTAAAATATTTAAAAATTGGTAAAATACATCGTTTTTTCGACTTTCCTTGCTTATAAATTTGAAACGATTCATTTTGGAGCAAAGTCGTAATAAAATAAAATAGCGATAATTGAACTTCATATAAGATCTTCTTCTTAGAGTGCCGTCTTCCTACGGAGGTTGGTAATCATAGGGGCTATTTTTAATTTTTGAACTTGCTGCTTTAAACAAATCAATCGATCTGCATTGATACCAATCACGTAGATTCTTCAACGATGAGTTCTGCCTTCGGCCAACAGATCTTCTTAAAGATCTTGAGTCTATGAGTCTTAAAATTTCATATTTTGATCCCTTCATCACGTGGCCTAGGTATTCCAGTTTTCTGGTTTGTATAGTGGTGATTAGTTCTGTTTCTTTACCAAAGAATTTGAAAGCCTCGATTCTTTTTAAATTCCCTTTTTTAATATCCAAGTCTCAGCTCCATATAATAATAATGAAAAGATATAACAGCGAATGGTACGTAGTCCGATCTCCATCTCCAAATTTAGATTTTTGCACGTTAGGAGTGGCTTCAGTCGTATAATGCTGATCTGGCAATCTCTATTCATTTCTGCAGTATGATCATTGGTTTCATTGATCCAAGTTCCCAAGTACTGATATTTTTCTACTTGTTCTATCACGTTACCATTTATTGTCAATAGGTTATGTATATTTTGTGGGCTTTTTTAATTAGCATGTACTTCGTTTTTTAGCGTTTATAGTAATTCCCATCTCAACACAATTCATACTTAAACTTTCGATAAGATGTAGATCTTCTATATGGCGATAAAACACATTCCTGTCTAAGTCCTCTACAGATCTTCATGTCTTCTTAGTATCGCCCATCAATTTGAACTATGGCACTTTGGTTCCAATATAATGTATGCACTATATTTATGATTTTACTGTCAGTGTGCTTGTTCATAAGTATTTATATTAGTTTTTCATGTCTTACTTGATTGAAAGCTTTTTCGTAGTCAACAAAGCACAAGTGTAGATCAACGTTTACATCCTGACATCGCTGAATAGTCCTTCTCGAGTACCCATTCCATTTCGGAACCCGAACTGGTTCCCGTATTACTTCAGCAGTACTTTTAAAGTATGACTCATGAGGCTCAGTGTTCGATAATCCGAGCACTCTTTTGCTAATTGTTTTTTGGGGATGGTTATAAATGCTGACTTCAGCCACTCTTGTGGTATTCTTCCTGTATCGTACACAGTGTTGAATAGATCTGCCAACACTTCCTCCATAGGTTATCCTCTTCCTTAGTTTTAACAGTTCTACTGGTATTTCATCTAATCCAGGTGCTTTATTGTCGTTAGAGTTGCTGTCATATTAGATACGACTGGTTAGACATGTTTTACTTTATTACCCTGGCTGCAAAATAGCAATAAATAGAAAAAAAGGGGAAAGCAACCCTTTTTTATTCAGTGTGTTTCAACGACTTATATTGCACTTCATAATTCGCGTAGAAAATATTAATAATATAGTAATACAATTCACCAAATTTCATTAAAATTTATAAATTTAAAGTTCTAAATTGTATACGTAAAAAAATGTATTTTCTCGGCTTCCAATGGAGAAATTTTCTTCTTTTTTTTAATCCTTTGTAACTAGAATAGAGACACCTAAATGACGCATTACCAGATCTCAAAGCTGCTTTAAGTTTGTTATAAATAAATTAATTTATTGAGAACAAAATAAAACTACATATTTGTTCTTTCAAGATTTTTTTTGAAACCTCGTTTTTAAAAAATCTAACGTGTACCTTTTAGTACAAGTACAAATACAAATATTTAGGGCGTTAAAGTTAGTTAGTGTGCTTTCGTGTTCTGTGGACTGAAAGTATATTCTACTATTTCATAAAAATCGTCATCCTTAAGTTGAAAATTACTCCCCAAAAGTTTAATTATGATCAACCTGTATGCCTCCACTGTTGGATATGGGTCTCCCTCATCTCTTTCCATCTGTCTCTGCCTTGTGCGGTTTGTATCCAGTTATTGCTAACACGCTGCAGGACGTCAGTCCATATAGTTGGTGGGCGTCCTCTGCTCCGCATTGCTTCTTGCCTTGGTCTCCACTCAACAATACGTTTTGTAAATCGGTTGTCTGATAATCTGGCGACGTGTCCTGACAAATTTCATTTTAGCGACGCAATTTTTTCGATAAGGTCTCTTGTTTTTGTTCTACGACGTATTTTTTCGTTTGATATTCGGTCTCTCAGACAGGCACCCAACATTTGGCGCTCCATACCCCCTTTGAGTCACGTGACTATTATTCACTACCTTTTTTGTATGTTAATGTTTCCGCTCCATAAGTAAGTATAGGTAACACACATTGGAGAAAGATTTTACTTTTGAGGCATGTCCTAACTACATACTTATACTATGTAGTCTGCACAATATCCCTTTCATTAACAGCAATATTTCAATTCACCAGATTAGTCAATATTTGCGTTTTGTTCATATTAATCCTTAGTCTGACCTCTAAGGAAGCGTGATATAATGTTTCAAACATTATTATTGCCTCATCAATACGATCGGCTATAAGAACGATATCATCTGCAAATCTTAAATAACTGAGCTTTTCTTCATTTATGTTGATAGCATACTCATTCAGATACCTTCCTACAAGTATGTTCTAAAGGCGTCGTGAATAGATTTGGAGAGATGGTGTCTCCTTGCCATACTCCTCGCTGTATACAGAATTTATTTGTTTCTTGTATGATAGTCTTAAGGCCGTATGACACTATGCATTTTCTTGTATCATTTCTTATATCGTTTCTGATATAGAAAGTTATTTATGTTTTCTTGTATCGTTTCTTGTACGTACATTTTTGCCCTGTATGACACTATGCAAGTTCTATTACCAGAAACTGTATGTGATTTGGCACATGATTGGTCGAAATTTTGACACCTAGAAAAATAGAACTGCAGTACCTGAGGCACCGAACAAGGGCCTGAGGACCCCAAGCTACTGGGGACTGAGAACATATGCTACTGATTATTTTTAAAAATACTGTGGTGCAAAAATGAAAGAAATAAAATGTCCCAATATGAAAACTAAATTGACAACCAAAATTTTTGAAGTTATTCAACAGGTTGTAATGGAAGACAGAAATGATAAATAATTTGGTTGTAATAATTTGTTTGTTTTTTTTTTTAATTATGTGTTTGAATGTTATGCTCTTGAAACTCTACTCTCTTATTTGAAGATATAAAATAATCTTTAAACTCATCACGAATTTTTAGTGCGGTTATGTATTGTTTTTAGTAAAACATCTCCTCCTACTTTCAGTAGTTCCGATGCTATTTGATACATCAACAATCACTGTGATTTATTGTTTTTCAATATGGCTACAGATGTTCTAATCTTGGTTATTGTTGGTGGGCACTTTTCTCTGATGTCTGCTTGGCCTAATTGTATGTATATATCAGAGATACTTACATATCTCTGGTATATATCAAAGTTCTCCTCCAGCCATAGAGAAATAAAAATAATAATTATTTTTATTTCTCTATGCCTCCATCCGCCAATATGACATGAAAGAAGTTTTACGTTTTAGCGGCTTTGCGCACAAATTGGCGCATTTCTTGTACAAGAAAATGCAGCGGACACAAATTCTTGTATCGTTTCTGATATAAGAAACTATACGCCTGTATGACACTATCCATTTTTTTGTTATATCAGAAACGATATAAGAAATGATACAAGAAAATGCATAGTGTCATACGGCCTTTACGCTAGCTGTGGCATTTTGGTATCGTATATGGTATCGGATACTTTCTATGTAGTCGACAAATATCAGTACCAATGGTTTGTTGTATTCTGCAGACTTTTCTATCAGGTTCGTTATCACCAGCAAGTGGTCGTTAGTGCTGTATCCCAATCTAAATCTAGCTTGTTTTCTAGGCTGATATAAGGCTAATTTAGCGTCAATTTTCCTCTTTTTTGATAATTTTTGTGAAAAGTTTATATATGTTTTTAGATCTGTTGTGTCTTCTTGCTTGTGTAATAAAATAATGACTGCATTCTTCCATTAAGAAGAAATTTTACCTTGGAAAAGCATTCGGTAAAAAGCTTGGCGAAAGCCTGAATAATTTTATTTCCACCTAGTTTTGTTATTTTGTTTTGCTAATTATTTTGGATTTGGTATTTTTTATTCCTAAAAGTGCCGTTTTAGTTTCGTATGAAGTTATATCTGGCATTAATTCTGATCCCTGGTTTGAGATTCTGGGCAGGGGCTAATTTTGCCTTTTGTCGGTGCTCTCATACATTGACAAACTCAAGGATTTTGGTTCCATCAGTAGTAATGTTTCCATCTTTGTTTTTTATTGTGTATATATATTTGTTGCCTATGTAGTTTGTATTTTGCCTCAAAATTTTTAAACTTTTGTTTTCTTGAATTATTTTAATTATTTCTCTTGTATTGTTTTCTCTTACCTCTTTTCGGATTGATATCTTTTGATATCTTTATTTCATTTTTTCATTGTTGTGTAGTTGCAGCTGTCTTCTTTTACCTATTAGCTTTTTGGTATTTTGGCTTAGTTTTTCTTTATGGGCCAGAATAGTCGGGCAGCACTCCCTTTCCGTTTCTTTGATAGCTTTCTTCATGCCATCATTTGCTTGATATACATCTTCTATTTCATCTTGCAAGTCTTGTGTATGTCTGGTTAGTGTATTTTCATACAGATCGTTGTTTTCTGGGGGAATCAATTCCTTTTTTCTTGTTTTTAGGATCATATTTGTTTTTTCTAATTAGACATTTAATAATATCGTGGCTCGGATTAATCTGTGGTTGCTTCCTAATGAAAATTTTTTAAGTATTTCGATGCTTTGATTATATCTTTTCTGTTTGTTATGTTATAATCTATTTCATTTTGACATGACAGTGCCATCTGGGCTGATCCATGTCCATTTACACTGGGACTTTTTTTATCGAAAATAGAGTCCATCATTTAGTTGCATCATATAATTCTAAATTAATTTTCTTCTTCGAGATTAATAATATTGCTTTGTTAATTATCCGAAAATTGAAAAAAAGATGCTTTCTATATAAAATAAATATTAATTTTTGATTCAATGCTATAAATTAAATTTATTAACTTAAAATTATATTATGAAGTTTATTTTTATGAATGTAATTTATATACACAATTATTAAAAAAGATTAAATTGTTAAAACTTGTTTATATTGCTGTTTACATTATGATAAAGCTTTCAAATGATAATATTTGTATTTAGAGCGTTAAATGGTACACTTTGGGTAAGTTTTTCTAAAAAAAATTACTACATAGGAAAAATATGTAGTTTAGTTTGTTATAAACAAATTTATTTATTTATAACAAAAATAGAAGAAAATTGCTTCATTGGAAACCGAGAAAATACATTTTTTAAATATACCAATTTTGAACTTTGAAATGTTTATGTTCAAAATGATCATCATTAACTATCTGACAATGACCGACTCCAATTACTCAGTGATATTCTGAATGTCTGGCTTATTTATATAGACTTTGATTTTAAATAACACCACAACCAAAAGTCTAAGGGGGTTAGATCCGGACAACAAGTTGACTATTCGATAAACTATCTTTTACCTAGTCAAACATTTGAAAATATTTCTTGAAGGCGGGGTACCGTCTTGTTAAAGTAAATATCTGCATTTAAATTGTTATCAAAAAAATTTAAACCCAAATCTAGCCAAATCAAAAAAATCGAACAATCCCAGCCCAAACGTTAACTTTTGTGGTACTTGTGTATGACGTTTTTGACACAAATTTGTTTTGTTTGTTTATTAATGGTTCCATTTAAACAAAAGGAAACAGGATACAGTTTTTTATATTGAGATCTATTTCCAGCAAATTTGCAAACGTTTCAAAAAACTCTAGTCTTGTCGGCTCATAGTTCTTGCATGATATTGGTAGTATCATAAAAGAGAAGATGAGATTGGTAACATTGTATAACACAAATGACGTTAAAGAAAGACTGTGAAAGACAAATGGCAAAAATTTTAAGCCAACATGCAACGCAACAGACTACTAAACGAAGACTCTTTAAAATTTAAAAAATGCTGCGTTAGCTGGCAGTTCATGTCACAAATACGACTAAAGTCCTAGGATCGAGCAAGAACAAGATCAAATCTAAGAAGAAGAAAAAGATGTTTTCGGAAAGAAAATTTTCAAAGAAACACCAGTATAAGGATGGCATTGATGTACAGGCACAAGAATGAGGAAGATATCTTTACATCAAATGCTTTAGAAAGGAGAGAATAGAAAGAAAGAGCTTAATAAAGAAAATCAAAATAATCAGTGCTAATAATACCAAAACTACAGTTCCCTTATATAGTAAACAACATGAAGAAACAAAAATTTAATTATTTGATCAAATTTTGAAAGAAAAATCAAAGTAATTATTGCTAAGGGTAAATATTGTAAAGGAGAAAACTCAGAGGCAGTTATAGCTTTAACAAAAAAAGGAGGAGGAAAGGCAATATAGTATTAAACTTCTTAAATTTTAGGTAAAATATTAATATAAATAACAAATGAAAGTTTACTTTTTGTACTTACTTTTAATCAAATCCAATAGACTTTCCATTGATTTAGCAATATTTGGATCTTCATTTTCAATCATTTCAGGCGCACTATTTTCATTCATTATCATGTAACAGTTGCTATGTACTTAATAACAATATATGTATTACTAATGTTCGTTGCTGTAAATACAAATCAGAATGTTATTATACCACCAATTACAAAACTGTTATAGGTATACCATCTAAACCACCAGAATAATATAACGCACGTCTTGCTAGGTATGCCGTGACATTGAAAACAGGTATTTATTTTTTTTACACCGTAAAACAGATCCTCGTTTAATAATTGGTATTAGTATTCCGCGTTCGCTGAAGAGAATGCTAATATACGAGAGGTGACAAAAAAGTTTTTTTATTCAAGTATTCAATCAACCAAAACTTAAGGTATGATTCGAGAAATAGATACGAAAAAACCTAAAAAGGGAAAATTACTGTGTTTTATAATTTCTATTTATTTTTGTTGTTTTATTCCTTCATTCAATTTTCTCCTCCGTTTTTTAAGTGAAATTTGCATAAATTAGGACTACTTGGAATTTAATATTCAAATATATACTGTACCGTTTTTTAAATAAAACGAGCGATTCGAATTTATATAAATATATTTATTTATAAGTTTACAGTTCGGTACTCTCTTATCAACTAACTCAACTCATAACATCGTTTCATATATATACCAAAAGTATTATTCTAGAGTAATCTTGAGTAGTCCCACCTCTAATTCGTTGTTTGACGGTTCGTTTTTTCTTGCGTTCGAGACATCTGTGGAAGGTTCTCGATGCCCTTTCGAGATGAAACCATTACATGGGCCATGCCGAAAGCATGTTCGTAACACTGCTCCCTCTTAGATCTGAGCGTCCCGATCAGCAACTCTATATGTAGGCCCAGGATGGCAGAGTTTACAGGCCTCTCCAGCTCTGCATGACCCCCTCAAGAAGAATTAACAGTCTACTGACTTTGAAGGTCGCGATCTCTTTGGGTTAATGCAACACACAGTAATTCTTACGCTGGTTTCTCGAAAGATCACTTCAAGCATGCTTCTGACAATCTACCAATCCAGTTTATCTAGTGCTTGGCCTATCTTGGGCAAGGCCAAATTCTTGATGTCATAATTGCAGATGATTTTCTTCAAATTAGAGCACGCCATATATCCTCGTAGCTTGCCCTGGCTGTATACGACTTCCTGGTCAGCATATACAGCAAAGATCGAGAACCAATCTCAGTACTCTTCCAACTTTAGGCTGCTGGTTTTTTAACTCGTCCAAACGACCGAATTTTAATTCCAACTTCTGTGATCACGCCGAGTCTAGCACTCTTTTTTTCTGCGTAATTTGACATAAATTCATTAAAGCTTGGTCGCCGGTCATCTATGATCTCACGTTGAAGGGTTCGTGCTTCTTGTTTCATTTGAGCCAGCATATAGTGCAAGACGATTTATGTGAACTTCTTTTACGAACGAACGCTAGACAAGAGTGATACAAACACACAAGACAAGACTGAGAATATCTAAAATATCATACTGCACACTGGCCCAACTATCACTTGGACCACATTTCCATAACTAAATTATATGAAATGTTTACGTAGTCTAATTGTACAACTCGCGCCATCTCTTGGTATACAGTGAAATATTAGTTAAGCCACTTTAAAATGAAAGATATGATAAAATGCCCTATTGTACTACCTATCTGTTTGTGTAGTATTATTAGATTTGGTGAGATTGGAAACTGTAACTGACGTCTGTCATAATATTGTAATCAATTTCTAGTTAAACATGATAGGCTGATATTTTCATAGACATATAACTATGGATATTTCTATGGATCTATTCTTTATTATGGAAGTTAACTATAATGTGACAATATTATTTTCAAATTATAATCTTGGAAGACGAAGTACAGCTATATTGTAGATATTCATTTCTTAAATTAAATTAAATGTGAAATAAAAATACATCAAACATATATTTTACTTTTTATAACAATGCTTAAAATTTTGTCAGTGGATTGGAGTTGCCAAACTGGCAGCTCCAAATAGTAGTTCTCCAATGTTTGTTGATTCACAGGGGCCATGATCGGGTGATCATGGGGCACCTTGTGGATCAAAAGGGACTCAAAGATGTTTTAGTATACCTCTTTCCGTGCGTACATAGAAGGTATGGTTAAATCGGGGGTTATTTGGGGTGGTAAATATGTTTTAAAGGTGTGATTTGAAAATTTCGGCCTTCTGATTATCGGAATTAATTATTTGATGGTTTACCACCACGTGAGAAGATATTTTGTTTTTGTTTAGTTAGGATTTTAAATTTACTCCAAAATGCACCGCCGTTTCGATAGTCCAGACTAGAGGTAGTAAGTAGGTCCAGCCATTGTTTGGCCTAAATTTTATTCACCTCAATTTTGATCTGTGCTGAAATGCGGTTTACGGTGCCGAAATATTCGGTTTTGACGAGTGGATCACGGGTTTCACAGAATTGACGTGGGAGGCGTTTGTTTTGTTTGATTTTGTAGATGATATTCTGATTGACGTAGGGTAGCGGGTAGACCCTTTTCTACGATCCTCATGGAAAATAGGTCTACTTCAGGGAAGCGTCCCTGCCCACGCGAACCATGCTTTGCTCTCAATTCCTTACTGAGAGAAATCATATCCCATTCCTTTATCCTTCCAAAATTTAGTTTCCTACTTCCTATCCCTTACTGGTGAAGGGCAGCAGCGATCATCAGTACCAGTTCAAGGCGTAGAGGAAATGATCCTGGACCGACTTGAAACTAAATTACCACAAGCACGACTGGAGCAGTTTAAATGGTCGTGGTACTACGATGCGGAAGGCAACGGGAAAATCACCCCATTATATTTTTCACAAATCTAAATGGCAGGCGACAAGAAGAAAATGGCCCTCAGTCCGGGGCACCCCTTAGATGGGGAGAGGGTGCGAAGAATCCCCTGTCAACTAGCCAAAAAAGTGGACAGAGAATACAAATATACGACCGAATAGTACGCATTGCCGCCTGGAACCTGGAACGTACGCAGCTTATTTATGTCCGTGAAATTGGCAAACACTGAAGCCAAGATGGTAAGACTGAAAACAGACATCTTGGGGATAAATGAAGTAAGATGGCCTGGTTCAGGAGTACAAAAAACAAAACATGGATACATATATTATTCAGGTGAAACAGACCCAGAACATCAATATGGAACTGCTATATTAGTGTCGAACAAAATTGCTCAATCAGTCACAGACTTTATCCATCTAATTGATAGAGTAGCAATGTTCAAATTACAAACAACTCACAAAAAACTCAATAATATTCAAGCCTATGCTCCAACAAGTGACAAGTCAGACGAAGAAGTCGAAACATTTTAAAACAACATAGATGAAATAATGCGACTGATAAAAATAGGTAAGATAATGATGATCATGGGTGACTTTAACGCTAAAATTGGGCGTGGTGCTGAAGTAGACCACATAGAAGCATACGGTCTAGGTACCAGGAATAATAGAGGAGATAGACTTGTACAATTCTGTGTAGAAAACAATCTGTTAATAGCCAATACCTTCTTCAAACAACATCCTAGATGGATATACACATGGAAATTACCTGCAGACAGAAAAGACAGAATTGTTAGAAATTAAATTGACTTCATTTTGCTCAATAACACCTTAAAGAAGTACAAACAATCTACAAAAACATACCTTAAAACTTTTCTCAGAATTATGCATACACGAATTTACATGAAGTGTGAGTTCCAGATATGTGGCACTCAATTCGGATTTTGAAATAGATTGGGAACACAAGAGCCTTTTTTTGCTTTAAATGTGTTAACGTAACGATGCAGAGACATTAATGTAGATGTACATGCATGTTTTATTAACCATTGAAAAGCATTTGACTGCGTTAACCATTAAAAGATGATCGAAATTCTGAGAGCAACTGGAGTTGACGAACACGACTTGCGAATTATCTCAGAACTATACTAGCATCAAACGGCAACAATTGAAATAAAGCACACAACATTCGAAGATATACAAATCCGACGAGGAGTGAGAAAGAGTTGCGTCTTATCACCGCTACTGTTTAATTTGTATTCAGAGTATATATTTAGAGAAGCATTAGACGAGGTCCAAGGCGGAATTAAGATTAACGGAATCAGTATAGACAACATTAGATACAGTCCGTCCCAAACCCTTCTTTCAGTGCGTCATAGTTGTTCGAATTCTCTCTAACGCATTAAGCTAGAAGTGACAGAAAAAAACGTGAGTCGGTGATTATTATACATAGAACTTAGAAAATTAGGTATCGTTCACGGGTATTCGCATATTAAAGCGAATTCTACTTACGAACGTATAATTGGTTGGAGTTTAGAATACGCTAAATAGATATCCAATCAATTATGCATATAAACATAATTTGACACAGATGATCTTGATAATGACAGTGACAGTACTTTCACAATGTCAACTGATAAAATGATAATTGCCATTCCAGGTTAGTATTTTCAGACATTTTAACTACAGTGAAAATTAAATTTTGTATTTATTGTCATAAAAATATTTTAAATATTCCGAGATATACCGAGAATGAAAAAAGACTAATATTAAAATTATTAAATTAGTTTGAATTAGAGAAAGAGGCTGAGACATCTTTATTTCAGTTTCTGTCGTTCGCGAATCAGATTATGAATTCCGGAATGATATTGAGGAAATATCTTAAACTAATACCTTTATGGATATTTATATGTATTAAAACGGTTCTTTTTAGAACCACGACATTTTCTTGAAATGTAGGATATAATTGATAGATACCAGCTACATATTCTAGTGTAATCATTGATTTTCAAGAATCAGATTCTGAATGGGATTATAGATTGTTTGAAATATAATATTCATTTTTGTTATTCATAAAAAAAGAAGGTAAACTTACATTCGGTATCTTGTTTTTTAACTAAACTCCATTAACACGATTTTATCTGGATATCGGAACTGGTAGATTAACTCAAAAATCAACTGCTTCACTATTTAGACTATTTATATTGTTTTTTTTTAACTAAACTTTATAACCTTCTTTCATTTGCACACCAAATCTGGTAGAATAACTCAAAAATCAACTGCTTCACTATTTAAACTATTTCCACTATTTAATGACAACTCTTCAC